TGCATTTTGAAACTTTGTACATTTCTTAGCCATCCTATGCAAAACAACAACGTGAAATCGCCAAAATTTGCATCGTCTGCGAACCGAAACAGCGACAGCAAATTATTTTTAATTTCCATTTGGAACTCAATGGCTACTTTATACGTCATGCTGAAGTTGAGCTGTGGCACTGTATGAGATAGTAAGCTCCTGCAACCATTTTTGAAATTCTAACTAAGAGTAGAAATTTATTGTTTAATCGAAGTCTTCCTTGGCATCGCTGTCGTGGTTTCTTAAGGTCCCTAATAGCATATTTTGTTGTTGCTAAGTGTGAGAGGCAGTTTTCTCACAGCTCACAGCTAACAGACTGGACTGTAGTGCAGGGGTTGGGGTTTAATACCAGGTCAGGTCATGGAGCAGTATTGTTCAGTTAGACACTCTCACCATGCCTCTCTCCACCCAGGGACATATATATGTTATCAGACCTTTTGTTGTGTGGTATCGCTGAGTATTTTTACGAGTTGTGCTGTATTTTGACAAGCCCTAGGGTGAGTCAAAATACAAATAACGAGTAAAAATACTCAGTGGTACTACACAACAAAATGTCTAGTAAGTTATTCATTATCAAACACGCCAAATTGTTATTTTAGTGCGGGTGAATTTCGCAGATATTTACTTACACAGAGTGCACGCATGATAGAAATATGCGAAGTGGAACGGAATTGACATGTTGTCGTGTTGCTGTTTCTATTTTCTTCAATAATTGAAGAAATTTCCATGTTGTCTGTTTTTCTTCATTCAATTCATCTAATAAACTTGGATCTATATTTGCCAGCCATTCTGACTCTTCATCGTCAGAAATATGATTCAAATTGTCTGCCATTTTTTTTTCTTAACTTCAATCCTATTCTTCGCTTGCGCGATGTAAGAAAACCTGTCTAACCGGTTCTCTGGAGTAACAATACCAAGTGATATTTGTACTTGTCTATGGCATTATTTGTACTCTACAGAGTGTAATTGGATAATAAGAATGGGTACTGATAGAAATCCTGATGAAATGATGGAGAGTAACCCAAAATGGACAGGCAGCCCATCCACGGGAGAGTTGTGACACTTACAGGGTTGCTTCGTGCTACAGAAACCAGGAAACCTCTTGCCTCAAGCGTACACTTTTTTCATTGTTCTTGTTGTATTTTCAGATATGAAGGTCTGGTCTGATCCATTTTCAAGAAAATAAATCCAAAGATGTTACAAAAGACCTGCTTTCAACTGCTTTCAGAGAAGAGGAACAGTGAGTGGAACAGAATGCAAAGACCACCTCCAGTTACATTCTGTGAAACAATTTTGTCCACCAGACCACTGTTAACATGAACAACATTCAATAAAATGTAATCTGATGTAAACAATAAAAAATAATTTTTTCAATAGAAATTTACTCGAGTTGTAAAATTTCCTGCTGTAAATTAAGGCAGATGATTATAAAATCATGCAAATGGCTCACAGCTAAAGGTCATCTGTGCCTTGAGGGGCCTATTGTGGGGGTGGTGCTTATTCGAGTAAATGTTACTCCTTTGTATTCATAGTGTACTTTGTCTTGAATGTTAAGATTGCGACAACATCACAGCATCCACAGACAGCTAACACTTCGCTGTTATAAAACACTTTATTTCTAGAACTTTTGTCTTCAAATAGCTACTAAAACCTAATATTGTTACAACTGCCTCTAAAGTTGGATTTACATTATTCATTTACATTGTTTCAATCATTAAAGGCTATCAAGTTGCTAATAAAATGTTAAATAAAAATTATTTCACATTAAATTTCATGAAGTATTTTACATGTGCTTTACATTCTGGAAAAAGTAAACTGCCAGCCCACCATAATTTAGTTAATAATATAATAGCTGTTGGTTGGAATTCTGGTACATTTACATCAAGTGGAAACTGTAGCCACTTGTAGTTATAATTGAATTTAGAATAATCAATTTCTTTCTACATTGCAACTTAGAATTTCTGGTAAGATGAGGGGTCATGTGACACGGCAATCTGATTTCTTTTGTTGCTCCTGAAATTAAAATTATATTAAGTCAAAACAAATACTGGTAGTCACTCAAGAATTGAAAATCGAAAATAACTGCATCTAGCCATTCAAAACAATATCACCAAAAAACAATATGATTCGTTGGTTACATTGCAGAAGGTACTAAATGCCATGATTAATTTTTAAAAGCTGATGCTTCAAGCATATGCCTAAGCTTGAAGTTGTTCACATGTATTTCCTTAAAGCTGTCATTAAAAATCATGATCAGATTCCCATACAGGAAGAGAGAAGGCTCTTGCCAGTCAAATGAAATTTATTTCCAATTCATTCATTGGAAAGAGGATTGCTCTCTTTTCAACATGTGACTTCATAGCTCTGAGTTGATAGCAGCACACAACTAGTATCTGGGAGGCAAAGGGTTCCAATCCTGTCAAAGCCTTAAAGTTTACTTTTCAAGCTGCATTTTAGCATTTGCTTATATTACAGCTTACCTGCAAAGATCACTGCTTTATTCAATTTTATCCACTAGTCAAATGAAATTTATTTCCTAACAAATTATGAGCTATCATTTTTGCTTCAGGTTTTTGTCTTTGTAATGTTAACATTTGTTCTGATTGGTTGTTGCAATTACCAGCACATACCTGTTGTCGTCTTCTGTTCTGCTCCTCTCTTTCAGACTCTGCCAGGGCTCGTGCTAGAGCTCGGTCTTCCTCTTCTTGTGTTGTCTGTGGTGGACTGGATGACTTTGTCTTTGGCTGATCTTGTAGAGAAGCTTGTATAGCTAAGGCTAAGGCCTCATCCTCACTCTGTGAACAATAACACATTCATGTTTAGAAAAATGTGCAAGTGTTCAATGCTGCAATCTGACTGGCTACGTGCAATCCATGTTGTCATGCATCTATACTGTAACATTTGACACTTGGATAAGGTCAAAATGTGGTTAGAAGAAAAAAGTGGCATGCAAAGAGTAATAAAGTTTATTATCCAACTACACTCCGTAGAGTACAAATAACGCCATAGACGAGTACAAATATCATGCAGTATTTGTACTCCAGAGAACCGGTTAGACAGTCAGGTTTTCTCACATCGCACAAGCATAGAATTGGATTGAAGTTATGAAAAAAAAAAAAAAAAGGCAGACAATTTGAATCATGTTTCTGACAACGAAAGAATCGGAATGGCTGGCAAATATAGATCCAAGTTTATGAGATGAATCTAATGAAGAAAAACAATTACTAGACAACCAGGAAATTTCTTCATTTATTGAAGAAAATAGAAAGAGCGACACAACAACGTGTCAATTCTGTTCCACTTTGCATACTTCTGTCATGCACTCGCTGTAAATAAATATCCATGAAATTCACCCACACTGAAATAACAATTTGGTGTGTTGGATAACAGTAAATAACTTATAAGATGTTTTGTTGTGTAGTAAAGCTGAGTATTTTTACTCATTATTTGTATTTTGGCTCGCCCTACAGGCTCGTCAAAATACAGCACAACTTGTAAAAATACTCAGCGATACTACACAACAAAATGTCTAATAAGATAATTATATGTACGACTGATGTTCTTATCACCCACAGATGTCTTCTGTGACCTTTTACCAAACACACCCACAGCAACATGGTAACACAGCAACTATTTGATGTCTTATAACAGTAGAGAAGAAAATTTTTTTTGATAATTTTGTCATCCACGGGTCTGTCCTTCAGTGGATCATTCCTGAGAACCAATTATTTTTTGCTATAAGTATTTACCAATGCTGGTTGTGGAATGGGTTGTGGATTTGGAGTACTTGTCTGTCTTTCCCGTCTGGACCTGTACATCATACGAAAATACGCCATGCAAGAATTTTAGAATCCTAGGAATGCAATACTTGCAAGAACTCAAGATGAGGCTCTGGATGGTCTCTAATGATGAGCAACTTTTACTGTTTGAAATAACAACCAACAAAAATCTCTATGAATGATTGTGAAAATTGTATTGTAATGTCTAATCTAATTAAACAAAGACCTAGATACTTAGCACACTGTGATTGGTTAGTTTTTATGATATTTCTTTTTTCAATTTTCATTGCGTGTGCTCTATCAGGAAACAAATACAAATGATGTTGGAGGAAAAGTGTTTTTATTTTATTGTATTCTTCAGCCTGATGGGAAGTTTACCAAATAACTTGGATATTTTTTTGAAATGGGCAAGAGGAAATTTTAGAAATGACTTGTCTCACTACTAAAAGTAGATAGAACAAAAACAAGCAAAGACAAAGTCTGATCTTCTAAACAACTTCAAAGCTATCTACATGTAGCGGCCACTTATGGGCCCCATTTTTTTTTGAGTAACCATCTTTTGTCAGCTTCTGTCATTCCTAAATGATCAGACACAAAATAAATGGCCCATTTCCCAATTACCCTTGGCCTCATTTTCAAAATGAGCCCTGGTGCTCATTCTTTCATATGATTATAAGTTTTCATTCACAAGCAAATTAAACTCATTTCCACAAGTTAGAATGGTTGAGCACCAGGCCTTGTTTTGAAAATGAGGCCAAGGGTAATTCAGAAATGGGCTATTGGATTCTAACCACCCAGCACAAAAAGATATTCCTCGGGTGTACCTGTCTAAGTCTCTTCCTATTGATGACAACGATGTTTGCTGTGGTCTCTTATGTGTTTTTGATGATGAAGCCACATTCTTTGCTCTGATGGCTGCAGCTTCTCTATAAATGACAAAAAAAAAAACAAAAAACAAAGAAAAAATCAGATAGTTTGTAGGGCTAGACACTAACGGTAGCCAGCTAGCCACAGACTAGTAGAAATTCAGCTTTGCCTGGTGGTTTTCGATTTCCACTTGCCAGTTTGGCTAGTAAACAAACTGAAAGTGTTGTAACATCTAAGTTGTCACTAGCCACTTGGCAAGTAAGTTGAAAAGTTTAAGTGTCAAGCCCTGGTTTGAGTGATCAAAATTTTATGTCATTCAGGACAGTTTGAAGATGACTACTTGTGGAAGTGTTTATGGTAAATAACAGAATCATTTAAGTACATGTGTTTTAAAGTAAATAGAAGAAAAAGTAAGAAACATACCCTGCTTTCAAGGAAGCACTTGTTTTACTGCAAATAAAAAGGCCATACTCTTACTCACTTGACTGAAATTACAGTTAATATGGTAACCAAAATGAAAGCGAATAGATTGGCAACTCTATGTAGCATCTGCTGAACTAGAATTAAACACTAGCTTCAAGTAAAATATACACTTACTTTCCAGTTGCACCCCTTACAACCCCAGAGCAGTTGTGATCTCGCTCATGTCTGTGTTTGAGACAAAAGTTTTGCCGACAAGATTCACACCTAACAGGAATGAGCTAAGATGGTGAAAGAAAAGAAGCTATTAGCTATTAGTCATGTGAGCCCTGCAGCCAGTTACTTTTGGGTAACACGTTGTGTGACACATTAACACAAGCAGTGTTGTCTGTAACCTTATTGATGACCACAAATTGGCCAATCAGATCACAGCATAACTGCCAACTGTGGTAAAAGTAATAGTAGCGCACTCTTGCTTATTTGTTGGGACATTACTACCTCCCCCTGTCCCTCTCAAGGTTGGTTTGCAAGATGGCACAGACACATTGGCAATTAACAACATTGAAAGAGGAAGAATGATAAAAGAACATCACAGATGTTACTCCTTCTAGAGAAGTGTCCAAACTAATTATGTCTGAGAGTGCAGTTTCAAACCAATTAAAGCAATAATGGTAAATACTGGTACGTAAAATTATCAATTATAATAACATACATTCCCTTTTTTTGTAAACAGACCTCTTTTTGTTTGCATCCTTTGAGAGAGCACTTATTTTGGTATGCCTATGGTGAGAAAAAAAAGAGGAAATGATATCACTTTTTATTCATGTGTTATATTTTCTTCCCATGACAGAGCCTGGATAGGTTCCACAGATCAATGGTATTATAATTCAAAAACAATTGACAATGCCATTTTATGCCATAATTGACCACTTAATGTACAGAATCTTTGTCAAAAATACTACCTATTAAATTGATTTTGGGAGGGAAACATGGACTAAAAATTATCTGAAGGATTATTCTTAGTTTTAATTGAGTGGTCCTGCTTTCAGTGACTATTCAATACAGGTGGAAGACAATACAAACAGGCTGTCTGCACTTAGTAATAAGTTAACCATGACCACTTATTATTGATAAAAGAAGTGACCACTCAATAGGCGTGAAAATTACAGTCATAAAGGTGAAACAAATTTGGAACTTTGACCGTATAACCCATTAGGAAAAAAAAAAGACATAATAATCACCTTTCTTTTAGCCACTGCTGGATCAGACTGGCAATCTCTGTCAATATGTTCTCCAACCTAAACAAAGAGTAAAAATTATACATGTCTGTCACAAAAATATATCAAATTCTTAAAAATCCAAACTTTTCTGAACACATCCAGTAAAAAATGCAGCATGATTGTTCTTTAGATAATCATGCTGAAATTTTTTCTTTTACAGAAATAAGCGTAAAATACCAAAGAAAAACAAAAAACCTTTTCACCTTTATGTCAGGTTGTTCCCCTCTGGGTACAGGTACTGCTTTGTTGCATAATGGACAAACTGGTACTTGAAAGTCCTAATGATGACAAAAAAATTCCACAGTTATCCAGTTATCCACAGAGACCCATTCGTAATGGTTTAATTATAATGTTTTTGTGCACCATGTTGAATGGACTGAAGAGAAAGACTGGTGACAAATCTGCCTTGATTACTACTGATAAGAAGTATGTTCCACCTATTTATGTCCTAATATATGACTACTTCTAAAATAAATGAAATCCTTGCCCTGAGCAGCTTGTGGGCAAGTTTACAAGTCAGTAACCCATCAAGTATCAATCATACATCCAGAGATACCAGCCTGTGGAGATCTATAATCTGGAGATTTTTCTCTTATGCTACCACAGCATCAACTCAGTGCATCCCCCAACTAAAATATTGATTTCCCCCCCCTCCTTCCCGATCTCCCTTTCCGAAAAAAATGAAGAAAGCTTTGGTTTAGTTTCTGTCAAGAATTTTGATTGCATAAAAAAGGCTTTGAGAAATAGCGACACAAATTTGTAAAACCAAAATTGTTTTGATTATAACAAGTAAATCTGGGGTTAGGATGTTAGCCTAAAGTGGAGCAAAACCTTGCTTTTATTTGGGAGCTTTGGTGAACCATATGGGAGACCATGAGACTCATTGTGTATACACGAGGCTCCAGGGTAATCCAGGAGAGTCAGCATGTTTGTAGGTCACACATCATTGGCTGATCTAAAGGGGAGGAGGAGGGGGCTGGGGTCCATACCAATGTACACATATTTGTTCTCATTTTACAACAAAGTGATTGGTCGGTTGTTTTCAACAAGTAAATTCTTACTGAATAAAGGTTGAGAAAATGTAAAAGATATGTAAAGAAAAATTGTAAAAGATTAAAAATAATAATAAAAAATGTACAGAATATATATATATATATATATCACACTCTGTTGCATTTACCTTTTTGTAGGCATTTTCGCAACTGTGGTCTGTATACTTGATATGATCCTTACTATTTAACAGAAGAAAACAAATGACTGATTTACGTCACTTCACAGTACTTTAGAAAGTGATAGAACGTCAGTTAGTAAAAATAATCGTTTAATTTTCTTACCAAAACAACTTGGAGCACGCATCACATTTCATGGGAAGGAAATCTGCAAAAGTCGATTTCAGGAAAATAACCATTTAAGTTTGCTCCGTTATGGAAAAAGAAATTCAAACATCTCATTAGTTTCAAGCCTTAGGTTAGGAGCATTTTCGTGAAAATGACGAAAGTTAATAAACGGAAAATATTTCTGCGAAGTCATCACATATTGACAAACCTTACTTCAGTGAAATTTGTTTACACAAAGATAGGTGAAAATAATTTATCTCTCAAAGACTTCAGACAGAGCTCACCTAGTTGTTTACAGGCATTAAGAGCGCAGTTTGCTCCTAATTCCGGAAATTCCATGATTACAAATTAAACTAGTAAGGGTCGATATTCGAGTCGATGTAAGATTCTTAAGTGATTCAACTTAAAGTTAAATTGTTACTTCATATAAGCACAAATGATATATTTTGTAACCAGGCCAAGGTCCCCCAAAGTGCTCTCCGTTCCCCCCTCCCTCCGTGATGCGCGATATTGCTCAAAAACATGGCGGCGAACATGGTCGGGAGAGTATCACCAACTTGTTGTAGACTATTTCTGGCCCCTTTATCAAAAAATATCGCAAGAACACCTAGATTTGGTAGGTGAAATACGTAAATTTTTTTAATCTTCTAGTATTTTGCCATATATTGCACGAATTAAACTTATTGTAATCTACTTTCGTTCGTTGGTCCAGTCGCCCGGCGATTTTCTTCTTGTCTTGGAGCACATCTCAGACCGGTATGTGTTCCTCAACAACTGTACTTCAGACGATATGGTGCAACTTTTACGGGTCATGGAGAACATGGCTCACCTGTAGCCGATGAAGAATTACAGAAGTGGTTAGATGAGGCGAAAAACAAAAGTTGGCTATGGAGATATTTTCACGACGTCGACGAAATCGAGAAAAGCGTAAGCATCTGATATTGGGATTAAACTCTTTTTAACTGTACTGTAACCTTAGGAATTTTGCCCCCAAAGTTCGGAATTTTTTCCAGTATTACACTAGGTAAAAAAATTGTGGCCTCTAAAACTACAACAAATTTTGAAGTGAATATGCTTTGTTATTAAGTACTTATTAAGTAATTACCAGTCAATCACATCTAGTTGATTAATTTCATCAGTAAACTTTTTATCCATACGATCTGGTATGCTCTTTTTATAAAAATGATTGAAAACAATGTTTGCACAAGGGCTGCAATGGTGCAAACAGAATGAGAAAGAGCAACATGCCCCAGCTGACAGCTCTGTGAGATGGAAGATAAATAGAGAAAGAGTGGTGACCAGATGTTAAAGTGCATATTTACTATATTATGTTGCATTGGGAAATTATTTGACTTTCAGTTATGGTAACTGGCCTAGCACCATTGGGATATCTTGACCATAAGCAACATGTTTTCTTGTCTGGCTCTTCCATTTAGTCATGAATTACATACACTGTATTATCTCATTAAAAAAAAAACTTGCTTAAATGGCGACCAAGAGTTGTTCAATTTCTTCCATTCATTACAGAGTTCTTCTAGCGCCAAATAACTGAATTCAAATTTGTTGTTTTCAGCTTATGTCTGAACAAGAATACAATGATCGGGAAAAAATGGTTGAAAAGGTATTTGTATTTGCCATGATAGTCTGTTTCTTTAATATTACTTGAAAAAGCTTAGCTTGATTTATGTGTGGATTCACAGTTATTTTACTGTTTTCCATACCAACTAATGTAAACAGTATTTTTGCATCATATATAGTTGATGGATAGATACTTTGACAAGCCAGATGCCAAGTTTGACTTAGATATTTTTGAAGAGTCAATTGATCTGCTTATCAAGTACAACGACAGAGATGGTGTCACAACATTTTGGAGATTAATGGAAGAAATGAATGTCGAACCTCCAGACGAGCTCAGAGAGAAGGTTTGTCAGCTGTTAATTTTGCAAAATGATAGTATTAGTCTTTCATGTTTGAAGGGTGGTCAAGATGGATTGACTTGCAAATCATGATTATTCAGTTTTATCAAAGTTGAAGGAAGGACTGTTGTTGATGACAGTAGCTCACACATGGACAACTGAGTGGACAGCATCCTCAGGATTTTGAAACATTGCAAAGCTCACAGGCAGTACCTCATTTAATGATCTTCAGAACTCTCGCAGTACAATACACATGCTTGGCCTTTTAAAACTAAGGTTAACCCCAAAACATCCATGAGCGACCAATGCAGAATTTCTTGTTACAATATCTAAGCATATCAAGCAAACAAGTGACGAGAATAAGAAAATTA